TAAGAACACTGACTGTTCTTGCAGAAGACCCAGATTTGAATCCCAGCACCCACATGGCAGCTAACAACTGTCCGTAACTCAGTTCCAGGGAATCCGACAGCCTCTTCTGTCCTCCGAGGGCATTGCACAACACAGGTGCACTTACCTACATGCAGGCAATACACACGTACACATAAAATAAAAATAATAAATAAAGCCGGACGTGGTGGTGCACATCTTTAATCCCAGCACTTGGGAGGCAGAGGCCGGAGGATCTCTCTGAGTTCAAGGCCATCCTGGTCTACATAGTGAGTTCCAAGGTTAGAACTACATAGTGAGTTCCAGGACAATAAAAAAAAATAGAATTTGTTAAATGTGCTGAAAAATTAAGGAATGGCTGGGCATGTTGGTACACACATTTTAACGCCAGCTCTCGGGAGGCCAAGGCAGATGGATCTCCGTGAGTTCAAGGCCAGCCTGGTCTACACAGTGAGCTCTAGGACAGCCAGGGCTAGAGTGAGACCCTGTCTCAAAAAAGGGGTTGAGATGAGACGACTCAGCAGGTAAAGGTACTTGCCACCAAGCCTGATGACCTGAGTTCAGTTCTGAGGGAAATCTCGTAAGAATGTACTGTCTTTTCTATCAAGGATTTAAATAAGGTAAAATTTCATTTAAAAATTGCAAAGTGGGGCTGGAAAGAGATGCTCAGTGGTTAAGAGCGCTGGCTGTTCTTCCAGAGAACCCAGGTTCGATTTCCAACAGCCACATTGGCAGCTAACAACTGTCCATAATGCCAGTTCCAGGGGATCTGACTCCCTCTTCTGCAGGCATTGCATGCGTGTGGTGACTGTACTTCCACGCATGCAGACAGAACATATATACACAAAACACTTTATATTTTATTTTGCAAAGAAGCCGCCTGGCAGGAACTACAATCCCTCCAAGGTTAGTACTTTTGGAAATGAAAACATGTGCTCAAGGTTGCAGTCGGTGCCGAAATTCCATCTGTTTATCAACTACCTGGCTTTAAATCAGCCAATTGTGTAGGAATATGAGGTACAGGACCCCTTTGCATTGAGAATAAAAACCCAGTGGCACCTGCTACACCCCCTTCTATGGAAGCAAACCTTCTACCTTGCCTAAATACTTTGGATTGTGTGGTCATTTTCTTGAGACCCTCAGTCCCATTTCTATCAATCCCTGGGACCCACACGATGGAAGGAGACAACCAACTCCTGATTCTGTCCCCTGATTGCCACACACACCATTACATTCAAGCACCCACACATAACACACAAACATACACAATAAATAAATAAAATGTAATAATTTAAATTTTTTGATTTATTTTTTATGTGTCTGAGTATTTGCCTGCATGTATGCAAATACACCCATGTCATGCAGTGCTGGTGGAGGTCGGAAAAGGGCATTGGATCCCCTGGAACTGGAGTTACAGATGGTCGTTAGCTACCATATGGGTCCTGGGACTAGAACCTGGGTCCTCTGCAAGAGCAGCCAATGCTCTAACCACTGAGTGATCTCTCTAGTTCTGTAATAATTTTGTTTTTTGTTTGAGCTAGGGTCTCCCTGTAGCCCCAGCTGGCCTGAAACTCGCTATGTAGACCAGGCTGGCCTTGAACTCAAAGAGATCTGCCTGCCTCTGCCTCCCAAATGCTGGGATTAAAGGCGTGGCCCACCATGCCTAGCTCCTGTAATAATTTTTTAATTGATGCATATTACCCCTGAAGTGTCACACTGTTCTTCAGAGGAGGAAAGTAATTGCTGGTTCCTTCAGATGCGGGATATTGCTGTATGTGCATGGATTCTTTGAAAAACATGTTTTTATCCCTTGGGGGATTTAATACGTTCCTGTAGATGTTAATAAAGCTATGAAAATAATGCACAAACAAATGGAAAGGGGAACAAAACTGACAATCAGGTTACCTGTCAGCAGTGGCGCAGGCCTGTAGTCCTGGCACTCGGGAGGCAGAGGCAGGATCTCTGTGAGTTCAAGGCCAGCCTAGTCCACATAGTGAGTTCTGGGCCAACTGGGGCTATGGGGAGACACTGTCTCAAAAAGACAGTAAGATAAAATAAAAAAGATATTGCTCAAGACACAGAGGCATCACCCCAGGAACCAGGAAGCTGGTCAGCGTGAGCTTTCGGCCTGCACACTGGGCCAGTGCACAGGCATACCATGCTGGCTGGTGTTGATCATAATTTTTTTTTCACTAATGAATAGTCCTTGGCAAGAAAACAAAAGTATGAGAGAAGTTGGATGTGAGCACTGTGTGACTAGGTGACGGGATCAGATGGAAATTGGGGGGAATTTTATAAGCAAATCCTAAACAACAAGAAGCCATTTCAGAACAGGTCCCAGGGAAACAGACTTCGAGAGGTTCGAAATTTGAATACTTGGACTGTATTAGTTACTTTCCTGATGCTGTGATAAAACACCACAACCAAGGCCACTTATGGAAGGAGTAGTTTATTGGGCTTCTGGTTCCAGAGGAGTAAGAAGTCCATCATGGTGGGGAGGCTCTGCAGGAGGCAGGCAGAATGCAAAACTGAGTGCTCGCACTTTGAAGCAGGCACAGGAAGCAGAGAAAGAGAGACAGACTGGAGACGGGATGAGGCCATGAGCTCAACGCCTGCCCCCAGTGACCACAGTGCTTCTTCCAGTGAGGCCACACTTCCTAAAGTTTCCATGACCCCCCTCCCCTCAAATAGCACCATGAAGTGGAGACCAAGTATTCAACTACTTGGAGCCTTTAGGGAATCTTTTCATTCAAACCCACGGAGTCTATGTCAGATGAACAAGGTGTGGGGACAGTCGAGGCTAGAATGCACTGGAGGAAGAGGATGCTCAGTGATTGATACAAGTGCAGGGCAGAAGGCTGGCAGAGAGTCTCACCGTGACACAGGTCACTCCAGTGAGCTTTCAGGGCCATCTACAGCTGGCATTCCCATGCAGGAGTACATACAGGGCTGGGCAGCAAGGCCCGGAGGGCTCCACATATCATAGGATCCCCGGGAACAGGCAAGGAGGTGATGTGCTCTCTGCAGACACCCATATTTGATGCTAAGAGCTACCTTCATGCCCCACAGCAGCCCATGCGTGGGGGACAATGTCTGTTAGGCTGAGCAGGGGGGTGAGGGGCAAAGGAACTCATGCAGGCGCCGGGGCAGAAACTGGAGCCTATGTCTGCCCATCGCAGGGCCATGGACTGCCTACCCCAGTTAGTGTCCTGGTTACAAGGCGAACAGCTGCCGTAGGGTCTGTGGTGGTGTCTCCCTCCCCAGACATGCCCTGGGCACTGCTGTGTTTGTTACTTTCGGATCTTGATCTCTGAGTACTCCGTGGGGCTGGCCTCATCTCTGTCCTGAGGCTCCCAGGGCCTCAGCCTCTTGAAGCTGAGGGAGGCATAATGGACCTCTAGCTCCTCCTCTGGGGCAGGTATGGCCAGGGCAGGGGATGGGTGGCCTTTCGTACTATCAGCTGCATTGAGGGTTCCCTGAAGTGGAGGAAGAAAATAGCCAAATTAGAAGAAGGAAGGCTATCAGAGAGCAGAGAGGACCCAAAGTCAACACAGAAATCGAACATTTAGTCCTTCTTGTATTCATTCAAAGCCCGCTGGGCCCACACTCATTCATGCACTCCTTCATATTTATGTGTATTTCTTGGTAGTAATGTCTGAACTCTGCATCACCATTTCATAAAATTTTCACAGAAGTTCACTGTTGAGACACTAGCGTCCCCATTCAGCAGATGGAGAAACTGAGGCTTTGAACCTATTTGCAAAGCATATATCTGGTTGGAGTGAGGCCAACATTCAAGTCCATGCCTCTCTGACTTGCGGGGGGTGGAGGGGGGAGGCAAAGCATCAGACCTGAGCATGGTCTGAGGGAGCAGGTGGTGGTTGAGGAGGTCTCAGTGCAAGGTCTGAAGCCAATGATGATTTGGGGGGACTGCTCAGCACTGATGCACCAAATGGAGAGAGGAAGGAAGGAAAGCCAGAGGTCCCCCAGTGGGAGTGAGGCTCAGGAAGGCAGGTGTGGTGTGCAGCCAGGCAGCTGAGGGCCTGAGTGGCCTTGGGATCCCAGGGTCAGTGGGAAGCAGCTGGATGTCCCCAGCTGCTGGGTTGACACTATGTCCCCGGGGACCAGGAGCAGAAGCCTGTCAGGGCTTCTCTGGGTCATCTCGAGGGACCTGACTGGGTTGGAGACCCATTAAGGCCACGGTGGGTGCTGGGTTCCTTGCTCACCCTGCAGACAGGTACAAAGGCAGCAGGTTTATCCTTCCCGGCAGCGGCCATCCTGACAGTCTTCACCCTGAGAGACAAGACCAGCTTCAATCAGGGCACTCAGGGCTGATCGGCAATGGGGGACCACAGCCCTCCTTTAAAAGAGGGCAAAGAACCAGTGGAGGCCAGGGAGGGGCAGGGATGTGTGCAACGAGATGACTCGCAGTGACACTGGGACCTTCCCCTGCATGGGATCCAGAGCGGACACAGAGCAGTCTTCTGCCGCCCCCCCAAGCTCTGTCCCCTGAGGAGCCCCAGCTGGGCCATCTAGGGTTCTGGGAGCCTGATGACACTCACCTAAAGAAGATGAGGCAGGCAGAGAGGGATAGCAGAGCTACCACACCAGCTGCCCCCACGGCAGCCAATACAGAGGCTTGAGGGCAAAACAGCTTCCCTACAGGGCAGCGGGAGTGAGGGGTTCGTGACCCTTCACAGACCCTGAAGCCCTCAACAGGCCCCATCTTCATTCCCCAACTAACCACAGGGCAGGACCCTGGCCACGCTTCCCACACTGCCCAGCCTGTGTTGCCCCTCCCATTCCTACACTAGCTCTAGATTACTTCCTCCTTCCTCCCAAGCCTCCGCCCCTTCAAGCCACTGACCCTGAATCGGCATCAACAGGACAGTGGCCCTCGGCCCCAAAGTCATTCTGGGCGTCACAGCTGAGCCTCAAGTCAGAACTGAACCCTCCGTATACACTCAGGGAGCTGTTGGCCCAGGGCCCCCTGGAACTGGAGGTGACGGTGAATGACGCATTGCTGCTGTTGCCCGCCAGCAGCCCCTCCCCCATCCGCCAGTGCAGGGAGGGGGCTGGCCAGGCTCTGCAGGAGCAGCTGCAGTGCAGACCCTCAGCCTCCCAGGAGCAGGAGGGTTCCAGAATCTGTGGGGGCGCTGTGGAGAGAAAGTAGGCAGAGGTCCCTTCATCCCAGGCCCCAGGTGTCCCCACATCCCAGGTCCCAGGTGTCCCCACATCCCAGGCCCCAGGTGTACCCACATTCCAGGTCCCAGGTGTCCCCACATCCCAAGCACCAAGTGTACCCACATCCCAGGTCCCAGCTGTCCTCACATCCCAGGTCCCAGGTGTCCCCACATCCCAGGCACCAGGTGTCCCCACATCCCAGGCCCCAGGTGTACCCACATCCCAGGTCCCAGGTGTCCCTACATCCCAAGCACCAGGTGTACCAACATCCCAGGTCCAAGGTGTCCCCACATCCCAGGTCCTACGTGTCCCCACATCCTAGGCCCCAGGTGTCCCCACATCCCAGGTCCCAGGTGTCCCCAGATTCCAGGTGTCCCCACATCCCAGGCCCCAGGTGTCCCCACATCCCAGGCCACAGGTGTCCCCACATCCCAGACCCCAGGTGTCTCCACATCCCAGATCCCAGGTGTCCCCATATCCCAGGTCCCAGATGTCCCCACATCCCAGGTCCCAGGTATCACCACATCCCAGACCCCAGGTGTCCTCACATCCCAGGTCCCATGTGTCCCCACATCCCAGGCCCCAGGTGTCTCTTCATCCCAGGCCTCAGGTGTCCCCACATCCCAGGTCCCAGGTGTCCCCACATCCCGGGCCCCAGGTGTCCCCTCATCCCAGGTCCCAGGTGTCTCCTCCCACTCACAGTGCACAGAGAGGCTGAGGGAGATGGTCTGGACACCCAGCGGGTTCTGCGCAGCACAGGTGAAGTGTCCTTCGTGCTCCCTGCCAACCACAGGCAGCTCCAGGATCCCAGGGTCTGAAAGCTGCACTGGGCTCAGGGTCTGTGTCACCCAGGCCCAGCTCACACTGGCTGGGGGATTGCTGTGACTGACACAGACCAGGCGCAGGCTTTGGCCCTCCAGGACCGGAAGGGAGGAGCCATTCCCAAGGATTTCCAGCCCTGGGAGGAGGAGAGGCAGTCACCTGGGGCTCTGTCGCCAGGACCCCATGGGCAGGGCATGGGAAGGCCCTGCTTCCTCTTCCCGCTTCCTACCTGTCCTGTTTGCTTGCCAAATGGTCACTCTCAGGTCCTCTGGGGGATCTGCAACCAAGACAGGGAACTGGCTGCAGAAAGGCCAGTGGCTTCCCACTGGGCAGAGGACCCATCCCAGAGATGGAGGTGGTGGGTGGGTGAATCACTCACTGGGTCCCCAACACAAACTGCTGCTGATCTGGCTGTTATAAGCCTGGTCTTGGAAGCCAGGGGCTCTGAGCCCCCCACCTCCTCCCGCAGGCTGCCCTCCCGGAACCAGGGGCCTCTAGCCAGTCACACTCACACAGCACAGAAAGATTCAGGGTGCCGTTCAGCGAACCCAGCTTGTTCTCTGCTAGGCAAGTGTAGCGACCCGAGTCCCCAGCCTTCACCCTGGGCAGATCCAGCCCCAGGGTTCTGGAGTCCACAGGGCTGGACCAAGAGAGGACCCGGTCTTCCAGGACCCAGTTCAGGGAGGCAGGGGGCTGGCTGTCAGCAGAGCAGAGGAGCCGCAGGGACTGGCCTTGCTGGACTTCCAGATGAGGGGTGTTTCCCAGGGACTCTAGGACCAGAGAGAAAGAGTGAGAGAGGGAGGGAGACGAGAGAGAGAGAGAGAGAGAGAGAGAGAGAGAGAGAGAGAGAGAGAGAGGTAGATTAATTCAAGTTTTGCCACAACAAAGGAAATTATTAGCAGAGCTCATCTCAAATAAGTCACAGAGGGGGAGAAACATCTTAACCAGCCATCCAGTCCTGCCTGAAAACCAAAACAAACCAAATTAAACTAAACTAAGCCAAACCAAAACACACTTGTTTTTTCTTTTCTCTTTTTTTCTTTTCTCTCTTTTTTTTTTTTTTTTTTTTTTTGGTCTTTTTGAGACAGGGTCTCCCTGTAGCCCTCTAAACAAGCCAGTCCTGCCCCATGGCTCAGTCCCGTCTCTGAACACTGGTCTGGTCAGTGTCACTGTGGATCAGATTCTGGGCCCTGCACAGCACCATGTGCTCAGCACCATGTTGCTGGGCATCACTGTGGACAGAGCACATTAGTACCTGGCTCTTTTTAAAATTAAATTATGTACTTATTTATTTCAGTTTTTTGAGACAGCGTCTCCCTATAGCCTCAGCTGGCCTAGAATTTGTTATGTAGACCAGGCTGGCCTTGGCCTCACAGAGATTCACCTCCTGAATAATGGGATGTACATACATGGGGAAACAAAGATTAAAAGCAGGGGCTCCTGTTCACTGCAGGAAGGGTACCAGTCAGGTAATCACAGCAAATAGCCACAAGTTGGGGGACTAACCCCTAGGGCTGGTACAGAGCCTGGTCTGCATAGTGAGCTCAGGCCAGTTGTGGCAACATAGTGAGAACCTGTTTCAAAAAACAAACAGGGCTGGAGAGATGGCTCAGCGGTTAAGAACACTGGTTGTTCTTGCAGAAGACTTGGGTTGAAATCCGAGCATCCACATGGCAGCTAACAACTGTCCATAACTCTAGTCCCAGAGAACCCAACAGCCTCTTCTGTCGTCGGGGGCATTTCACAACATGGGTGCACTTACTTACACGCAGGCAATACACATATACACATAAATTTCTTTTTAAAAAAAGTAAACAAAGAAATAAGTAACTAAGGGGCAAGGGAGATAGCTCATTCTGCAAAGTGCTCGCCTCACAAACATGAGGACCTGAGTTCCATCCCTAGAACTCACAAAAAAGGAAATAGGTCAGGGGTGGTGGTAGACACTTGTAATCCCTGCCCTGGGGAAGAAGAGACAGGGGCTCACTGGCCAGCCTGGGCTCATTGGTGAGTTCCATGCCAGTGAGAGACCCTGTCTCAAGAAACAAAGTGGAAAGCTTTCCTGGGGGTGACACAGAGGTCCACTTCTGAGCACAGCACAATGCACACACGTGCACACTCCCCACACCGACACACACATACAGACACACATAGCCATACAAACCAAACAATAAGTGAAAGGCAGGGCCTCCAGGGTCCACGTCTGTCAGCCTAAGAGGGCAGCGAAGCTGCATGGTGGGGGCACTCCCTTCTGATCTCCCCACAGCCTCCCGGAGCACCTGCTCTGGCTCAGCCCCACCTCCCACCCAGGGGCCCATCCCGACTACCTGCTCCAGGGACATCGTGGGCGGTGATGGTCACCCTCGGGGCATCTGCACAGACAGGGAGGGAGGGCTGGACTCACAGCTGCCCCATACCCCACCGCCCCAGCAGTCATGGAGGCAGAACAGGAAGCTCAAAGGAGACAGGGGCCTCTTCCCACAGCCACGAGTTCCCCAGGACTAGGCCCAGCCCCCTCTGTCTCCCTGTGCTGCCTGCTCCCTCAGGCCAGGCCCGTCAATGACAGAAACTAGTTTCTCATGTTCTCAGGGTAAAAGCCAAGATGGACCGAATGTCTGCTAAGTGCCCCACCCAGCCCGCTCCAGAGCCCCCTCTCCCACTTGCCATGGCAGGCAGGAATCTCCCCGCAACCCGACCCTTTTTGTTTCGGAATTTTCTGAGACAGGGTCTCATTTTGTAGCCCAGGCTGGCCTCAAAGTCACAATCCTACCAGCCCAGTCTCCCCAGTGCTGGGCTAACCGGCAGAAGTCTCCAGGCCCAGCATTCCTGGGCCCTTACAGGCCTGTGCTATTGCTGAGGCTGCACCCCGTGGCTCTGCATCTGCTCACATCTATCTGCTGGTTCAGCCCTCCACACTGGCCTGGGACACAAGCACTCGCCCACCCACAGCCCCTGCCCCCTCCCCTGCCCACAGCAGCTCCCAGATCCTGGACAGACACTCACAGGACACTCTGAGCTGGACCGTCTTCTTTGTGGACACGCCAGCCCTGGGGATGGTCACTCGGCAGGTGAGCTGGGTGCCATGATCCTGCGGGCTGGGACTGAGCTGGATCTCTGAGGTGTTGGAGACCAGGCCTGGGCCTCTCAGGGCAGCCCCGACCCAGGAGATGGTGTAAGGCTGGCAGGCCCCAGGCAGGGAGCACATCAGGTGGCCCAGGCGGCCAGACTTCAGGGGCTCCTGGATGTGGATATCCGGTGTCTGTGTGAGGACTGAGACACGAGAGGCAGAGGCCGGGCCCCAGAGGGGACCCTGTGAGCCTGTGAGAGACTCGCCTCCCTGGAGAAGAGCTGCCCCCCATACCTTCTCCATTCTTGGGGATCCCTGCTTACCCGTCACAGTCACTGTGAGCATGTAACGTTGGTAACTGTATTTAATATGTCCTCTCTCCAGGCGAAAGTAGTACTGTGCGCTGTCCGCCTGCTGAGCACCCGAGACGCGCAGGGAGCAGTTGTTGGCCCCGGGGTCCCCGAGGAGTCGGAACCGGAGGTTGGTCTTCTTTTTGATTTCCTTTCCTGGGTCATTTGTGGCCACTAGCTCTTCTCTTTTGGTGTTCTCCTTCCTCTGGTACCAGTAACCGTACGCTGGAGTGGAGCGGCTCCCGTTGTGCCAGGGGTAGTGCACAGAGCAGGGCACCAGGACACACAGCCCCTCCTGCACCGTCACGCGGTCCTGCACCTGCAGCCAGAACTGTGCACCCTCCTGCAGGGACCCTGTGTGGACGCAGAGGCTCAGCTGGAGCCCGTGCCCCCTCCGGGCACCCCAGGCCCTCAGCCCACTCACCTCCCCGCAGTAGGACCAGCAGCAGGGCCAGCAGGAGCATCTCGGGGCTCGGGGGCCCTGCTGGACCCGGACACTGGGTCTGGCCTCTAGAGGGACACGTCCCTGGGAGGCCTGTGGGGACAGTGACGGCCACAGAAGAGGAACCTCAGGAAGCGCTCACGTCCTGAAGACCCTTCTGACTTCTCCTTTCACAGGCTCTGGAGGGGGCAGGCCCGGGACTCTTGAGGAACCGGAAGGAGCCTCAGCCCCAGGAAGTCCAGAGAGTTGGATGCACAGGGAAACAGGTGCTCAGTGGCTCACACGAGGAGACACCCCCGCCTCCTCATCCTCCATTCATTCATTCATTCATTCATTCTCCAGTGAGCACCTGCTTCACACGCAGGGGCTGCAGGCAAAGAAACATACATGACTGTTAACCACCTGTGAACCCAACACAGGCCTCCCATCCACACAATCTCCAGAGCCCAGGATCCCCTGCCTGTCCATGGCCCATGTCAGGCTCCTAGGTGCACAGTGAGAAGCAGAGCTGTCTGCCAAGTCCTGTACTCAGAAGAGATCTGGGCTCTGGGCTGAGTGCTCTGGGTTTGTGTGCGAGTTAAATGTGGACTTTCGGGACGGGTGGCTCAGTTGATGAAGTGCTTGTGACACATGCATCGGGACCTGAGTATGGGTCCCAGCACCAGGAAACTCATGTGTAATCCCAGTAGTGGGGAGGGAGAAACAGGCAGATCCCTGGGGCTCACTAGTTAGCCAGGCCAGCCTAACAGTGAGTTCAGGCCAGTGAAAGAGTGTCTAAAAAACATGATAGTACCTCAGTAACAATACTGAAGCCTGAGAACCAGAGCCATCTCTCCAGTCCCTTAAAAGCACTCATAACCACTCTTTCAGAGGACCTGGGTTCAGTTACCAGCAGCCATGTGAAAGCTAAGAGCTGTAATTCCAGTTCTGGGGGGCCAACACCCTCTTCTTGCCTCTGAGGACATTGTACACACAATTACTTACATGTAGGCAAAACACTCATAAACAGAAAATAAAATGATAAAATAAGGGGCTAAAGATATGGCTCAGGGGCTAGGAGCACTAACTGCTCTTGCAGAGGACCCAGGTTCCATTCCCAGCACCCACATTGAGGCTAACAACTGTCTAACTCCAGTTCCACAGGATCTGACACCCTCTTCTGAACTCCGAGGGCATTGCACAGCATGGGTACACATATACATGCAGGCAATACACTCATACACAATAAAATAAAATAAATAAAACAATAAGCCAGGTGTGGTGGCACATGCCTTTAATCCCAGCACTGGGAGGCAGAGGCAGGTGGAGCTCTGTGAGTTCAAGGCCAGCCTGGT